CCCAGTTCCGACGATCGATTTGCACGTCAGAATCGCTACGGTCCTCCATCAGGGTTTCCCCTGACTTCGACCTGACCAGGCATAGTTCACCATCTTTCGGGTCCCAGCATCTCTGCTCAGAGCGCGCCTACATTCACGGATTGGAAACGAGACGCCTCGGGAGTGCGAGAGGTCGATCGAGACCGACGCTCCATCCTCCCTGAGCGCGCGACAAGCGCACGCCTTCACTTTCGTTGCGCCTTTCAGTTTATACGTAACTCAATGACTCGCACACATGCTAGACTCCTTGGTCCGTGTTTCAAGACGGGTCCTGCGAGTGCCCGAAACTGAATCATCGCCGACTGAGACGCGCACGGTCCGAGACTGCACGGCGGCGACAACAGACGCGCCGCACCGATGTCCGCACAACGGCAGGACCTCGATTACGACGTTGTCTTGCGTCGGGCCGGACGCGCTTTGTATAAGGTGCGCGTGCGCGATTCGTGTCTTCTACCGTCAGACGGCCGGTCGGCCACCGTCACGGTCCAGCCGTCCGTTTTGAAGGGTCGACTGGGCTCCCGGACGGCGCTTAGGCCGACGTCGAACGGGTCGCGATGTATTACTGAGAGAGAAGTGCACGACGTCCGCGGACGTCGACACACCCGGCCCGTGACGCCCGAAGACCCGATTAAGGGACACGAACGTCATCAGAGCGCGAGCGCGTACGCCGCGGAATGACGATGAATCTCTCCGTTCGTTCATTCGAGTTTCGCAGGTTTACCCCTGAACGGTTTCACGTACTCTTGAACTCTCTCTTCAAAGTTCTTTTCAACTTTCCCTCACGGTACTTGTTCGCTATCGGTCTCGCGGTAATATTTAGCCTTAGATGGAGTTTACCACCCACTTAGGGCTGCACTCTCAAGCAACCCGACTCTTAGGAGAGTCCCTCTCGCCGCCGCCCTCCGTCGCTACGGGCCTGGCACCCTCTACGGGAAAACGGCCCCGTTCAAGACGAACTTGGACAGGAGTATCGACGACGAGAAAGCGGAACCTCCCGAACACCACATCTCCCGCGTTCGAGACGATCGCGGGATTCAGTGCTGGGCTCATTCCTGTTCGCTCGCCGCTACTAAGGAAATCCTTGTTAGTTTCTTTTCCTCCGCTTACTAATATGCTTAAATTCGGCGGGTGATCCTCCCTGATCTGAGGCCAACGATAAAAATCGAGGCAGACACGATATCCGTCAGCGCAACGACGACAGTACGACACCGTTAACGAAACGACGTCGCAGTCGTCGAGGCGCTCTTCGGACGTCGAGTCCGCCTACTTTTGGTTGTTGTGTATGTCGTGTATCTAACATATATTTTCAAAACAAATCAATCGCACACCACACAACACGTGCCGAACGAAGTCACCGCACGAATATCGCGCATGCCCTCTATCGAGTTTTAACGTCGAAGAGTCGCGCGTCGAGGGGACTAAGCCAGCTCGCCGCTTAACGCGTCTTGTGCGATGTGATAGACTAATTTTATATTGAAAATCAGTCGCGATACACACACAATTATTATATAATATTTAAACGGACCGAAAGAATACGCAACGCAAACACACTCACGTATCGCGTCTCTCAACGGAACCGTCAATTGTTCGTAAGAACAGTGTGGTTAATGTTTTTTAACAGCCGGCCCTCAGACAGGAGTGGTCCTGGATATTTCTCCACGGACCGCAATGTGCGTTCGAAATGTCGATGTTCAAATGTGTCCTGCAGTTCACACTATGACGCGCAGTTAACTGCGTTCTTCATCGACCCGCGAGCCAAGTGATCCACCGTCCAGGGTAATAGTTTGTATATGTTGTTAACTAATAAATGTTACACACCAAAGTTACAGGTCCGGTCTCCCGGTCCCGTATCGTCGGGTATATTTTTTGGTTGTTATATATTATAAAAAAATATTGTGTTAACGCGTCCTCTTACGCTCGCTCTCACCCCGAAATCTCGAAAGATTGAGGGGGCAGTGTGAACGTTAGAGAAACGTTTTAACGTTTAGAAATGAACGGTACTACGGACTTCTTTTAATGATCCGCCTTTCGCGTTCGTATTCTAAAACCGCATCGGGGTTTAATTCATTTAATATAGCGCGTACCATTATCGGACCGGAACTAGTGGCGCGGATTCTTGCCAGGTCCTCGTTCCGTTTTATTTGTCCCGGTTCGCGCTCGTTCCTCAAAGTGATCACATCACACACACACCGCACGCACACACAAACTGTTTATACCTCGCGCGCGCGTCACAATCTCAACGCGTCGTATCTTATTATATTTTTATATAATATAACTCGATAGGGCGTTTAGAGAACGTGACACACACGTTCGGATAGAAGCAGTGGTGAACGCGTAGTGACGACGACACGACCACAGATCGGAACAATTTTTTTAATTGTTATTTGGATTATATATACATATAATGTATCATTATAATACATCATATATACGTTAATGATCCTTCCGCAGGTTCCCCTACGGAAACCTTGTTACGACTTTTACTTCCTCTAAATGATCAAGTTTGGTCAACTTCCCAACAACGCCGACGGCCGTGAAGCCACCGCGTGTCGGTCCGAAGACCTCACTAAATCATTCAATCGGTAGTAGCGACGGGCGGTGTGTACAAAGGGCAGGGACGTAATCAACGCGAGCTTATGACTCGCGCTTACTAGGAATTCCTCGTTTATGGGGGATAATTGCAAACCCCAATCCCCAGCACGAAGGAGTTTCAACGGGTTGCCCGGGCCTCTAGGCCAGGGAGAACATGCTGATTCCTTCAGTGTAGCGCGCGTGCGGCCCAGGACATCTAAGGGCATCACAGACCTGTTATTGCTCAATCTCGTGCGGCTCGAAGCCGCCGGTCCCTCTAAGAAGAATTTTAATACGTCGCCAGTGAGTTGCGCGACCGAAGCCACGCACACATAAATGACGACGCCTATTTAGCAGGCTAGAGTCTCGTTCGTTACCGGAATTAACCAGACAAATCGCTCCACCAACTAAGAACGGCCATGCACCACCACCCACCGAATCAAGAAAGAGCTGTTAATCTGTCAATCCTTCCGGTGTCCGGGCCTGGTGAGATTTCCCGTGTTGAGTCAAATTAAGCCGCAGGCTCCACTCCTGGTGGTGCCCTTCCGTCAATTCCTTTAAGTTTCAGCTTTGCAACCATACTCCCCCCGGAGTCCAAAATCTTTGGTTTCCCGGAAGCTGCCCGCCGAGCCATCGTAGTAACGTCGGCGGATCGCTAGATGACATATTTACGGTTAGAACTAGGGCGGTATCTAATCGCCTTCGAACCTCTAACTTTCGTTCTTGATTGATGAAAACACCTTTGGCAAATGCTTTCGCTGATGTTCGTCTTGCGACGATCCAAGAATTTCACCTCTAACGTCGCAATACGAATGCCCCCAGTTATCCCTATTAATCATTACCTCGGAGTTCTGAAAACCAACAAAATAGAACCGAGATCATATTCTATTATTCCATGCACGAAATATTCAAGCAGCATTTTGAGCCCGCTTTGAGCACTCTAATTTGTTCAAAGTAAAATTGTCGGCCCATCTCGACACTCACCGAAGAGCACCGCGATAGGATTTTGATATTGAACCGCCGTTTTACCGACGGCTCACCGACGATATGCTCCGCAGACGTGTCAGTATCACCGCGGATGCGGTGCACCAACAGCGCGGCGCACAAATGCAACTACGAGCTTTTTAACCGCAACAATTTTAGTATACGCTATTGGAGCTGGAGTTACCGCGGCTGCTGGCACCAGACTTGCCCTCCAATTGTTCCTCGTTAAAATATTTAAAGTGTACTCATTCCGATTACGAGGCCTCGTAAGAGTCCCGTATCGTTATTTTTCGTCACTACCTCCCCGTGCCGGGAGTGGGTAATTTGCGCGCCTGCTGCCTTCCTTGGATGTGGTAGCCGTTTCTCAGGCTCCCTCTCCGGAATCGAACCCTGATTCCCCGTTACCCGTGACAACCATGGTAGTCGCAGAAACTACCATCGAAAGTTGATAAGGCAGACATTTGAAAGATGCGTCGCCGGTGCTGGACCATGCGATCGGCAAAAGTTATCCAGATTCATCAAAATTAACGACTTCGGACGCGAGGCCCTCCGTCGATTGGTTTTGATCTAATAAAAGCACTCATCCCATCACTGGTCAGAGTTCTGATTGCATGTATTAGCTCTAGAATTACCACAGTTATCCAAGTAACCGAGGTAAGATCTAAGGAACCAAAACTGATATATTGAGCCATTCGCGGTATCGCCTTAATACGGCTTGCACTGAGACATGCATGGCTTAATCTTTGAGACAAGCATATAACTACTGGCAGGATCAACCAGGGAGCTGACAGAGAGAACTTGAGTCTCGTTGTCACTATACACTCCGAGACCACACGTGCAACGCGACGCGCAAGCGTTTTAACGCTAAAACGCACCGGTGCCGTATGAGAGAATATATGAATTCTTATTCAGTCTGGTCACGGGCGAGATCGGGTATCTCACGTCACTCGCACGTATTAACCCAGACCTACTGCGGACGACGTTCAAGTGCGCCCAATTCATAGAACGTTCAACAACGAGACAACTGTGTGAATACTTCACTATGTTAATAATCATTTAACACATTTGATATTATTTTCGTGAATAACACAAACGACATATATCGCCCGGTGTTAGAGAGATCATATCCATTTTTTAAAATAAAATACCGTCCCGCGAATACGATTATAAAAAACGCACCACGGCGACGAGCATAATTTAACGGACGTTAACGATGGACGCGAAGTCAACTCGCTCACCGAACGTGTACCGCGTTAATTAAACGAACGCTCAAATACGTCTTACCGCTTCAATAAACGGAGACGTCGTTCGACACAGTTCAACAACGACGATCATAATATATAAATATATAATATAATAAATATTATAAATAAATATCATATTTTATATTTATATTTATAATATATCAATCGCACAACACCACAAAACATCTAATCTAACAAAACACATGAGACTTGAAAATTTGTCGTATTGTGAGATTCGACTAGCACCGCTCGTGCTTCGTCTATACATATGTACGACTGCAGATATGCGTCTCCGGCGGTTCGTGTATTGAACGAATAGTTCGCTAAGACACGGAAAGTGTTCGCGTATACGCATAACATTATGACGAGCCGTCATCATAGGGTTACTTTAATACTTACCTGTCTCACGACGGATTATCATGATCATCACCCACACCAGGACCACCACCATCATCACGATCACCACCACCACCATCACCAACCACCGCCATCGTAATCATCATGATCGTCGTCGTCGTCGTCACCATCATCATCGTCAGCATCATCATCAGCATCATCATCATCAGCATCATCAACAGCAGCAGCAGCAGCAGCAGCAGCAGCAGCAGCAGCAGCAGCAGCATCGTCGTCGTCGTCACGTCGTCACGTCGTCTTCATCGTCATCATCATCATAATCATCATCATCATCATCATCATCATCATCACATCAGATAGATCACCGTCCTGAGCTGTGCCACCTGCACATCGATCGACTGCTTACTTACTCACCACACACATCTCATCATGTCAGTTTATCACGAATAAATTCTTTAGATGTGCGTTCGCGTATAATAATTTTTTTCACAATGCATCTTCAAAGTCACTGAGCGTGTTCGCGTATAAACATAACATAATAAATATAATTGTATTTATTGTATCCTCTCACCTATTACCAGTGATGAACATAGTCATGTATCCATCAAACAAGGAATGATGTAACAAATAACGCGAAGTGTTCGCGTATCGACATAACATTTTTATAAGTAACCTTTTAAAGTAAACTCTTCTAATGATGTGTGGTACCTTTTTCCTTGTAACTGTTTTTATATATTATTTATTCTTGGTGAACATCTGATATTGTATACATACACTTTAATAGTTTACATTTCCATTATATCCGTGCAACAATATGTAAATTTAATGACCGTTTAAAATTTAAAATATAATTTTATTATTATTTTATTTTATAATCATATGTCAATTTGACAATTTATCAATTTATCACATAGATGATAGATTTACTTTTTTATAATAATATTATGTATACTTTATATAGAACCTGCGTGAAGCGAAAAATAAAAACATAAATACATCATATAATAACTACATTGTAAATTTTTCTTTTTTACGTAGGTACACTATACATATTTAACATAATATATTATCTTCATACAGAAAATCGATCACGGCGGCCGTAGGATATATGGATGGAGATATATAAGAATTATCAGGAAAAAGATAAATAATTATAAGTGTTAGTATTAATGTACAAAATAACATATTATTAATTCAACAATACACATTAAATAAATATACACACTAGAATTATTCCACTGATTCTTTCGCGTTTATGCTCGCCTAGTACTAATCTATATTATAATATTTTTTACGTCATTACACAATCAAATCGCGTTTATCGTTCATATCGTTCTTCTCATACATACATTTAGTATAAATATTAATTACCTACAGTATTGAGTACACACCACATTTTACTATTATCTATCGCCACTGATGAAACATAACACACCGTCAACCAAACAATGATACAAACACGTTACAAGGATCTCTCGTCATATCGGTAACTTTATTTATTTATAATATGTCGAATGTATTATAAAAATATATCGTATACTAAATATATAGGCCGTTGCCTTGTTCTATGACATACTGTACCAGTCAATCACAAGAATGATGATTGAACAAATAAAGTTTGTATGTGAAAATTAAAGATAAATATAACTTTTTATATGATAAACGACGTGGTTGCTGTTGCACATAGATATAATGTAGATTTTTTTCAATTACGAATCAAAATTCATATGAGTTCAGAGTCACATTAAGAGTAAGTTACATTAACTATATACTCACAGTAAATTGTGTATATTAGATATACATATCTACTCGGTAACAAATCACATTAATGTTACATGTAAAACTGTTGTGAGATCTGTTATATGATATATCCGACGATAATGGGTTATTTTATAAGCAAAGTCAATGAGAGTGTTATGAGTATGTAGTGAAATATTCGACGACAAAGATACGAAACGTGTTCGCGTATAGAAAATTTTATAATTTTTTTAAAAGTCAATGTAAGTGTTCGCGTATTGAATGATTGGAAATTTTCTTACACACACTAATCATCAACACTCACAACTCACCACTTCGCACTCGTGCGAATGTTAAAGATAATGAAAGTTTTCGCGTATAGACATAACGTATAATAAAATTGTCTCATTTCAATAGTCTTACTCCGCCGTATGATCGTCCAAAAGACTCAAACCAATGTGTTCAATCAATCAATTAATTAATTAATTAAACAAATCGAAAGAAAGAAACACAGTCTTTTACAAACGTCCTTACGGGGACACGACGTATATTGTGCGCATTGCACACATGGAACAATAATAATATATTAAAAGAATCGTCCTCGGACGAATCACCTGGCGTAGGGCTGAGTCTCAACAGATCGCAGCACGACGCTGCTCTACCGAGCACAACACCCCGCCAGGAACGTAAGTCGTCTACAGACTATTCCGAGCTCCGACATCGAACTGAGGTTAATTCGGACCCTCGGCGCCATGGTGCACGCGTTAAAAACGATAACACCGATCGCCGAGATCCAAATGGGCTTCGACGTCGCACCGCACGAGTGCAGAGCGACTAGTAAAGTCACATTGTTTAGAGCCTCCCGACTCTCGGAGCTCCACAGTGAGCATATCCTTGCCGGATTCGGCTAGGCTGGCTTCGGCCTTAGAGGCGTTCAGGCATAATCCCGCGGATGGTAGCTTCGCACCACCGGCCGCTCGGCCGAGTGCATGAACCAAATGTCCGAAACTGCGGTTCCTCTCGTACTGAGCAGTATTACTATCGCAACGACGAGCCATCAGTAGGGTAAAACTAACCTGTCTCACGACGGTCTAAACCCAGCTCACGTTCCCTTTTGATGGGTGAACAATCCAACGCT